GCTCAGCAAACGGAATCAGTAGAGGGCTATTGGTCTCCTCCTGGGCAAGGCAGGCCATGTGTGGGCCTATGTTGCGGAAATCAGAGTGACAGTTACTGGTCTGCAGGCAGCATGTTCCTGTCTACCGTTTTGAGAGTGCTGTGAAGGCGGTCTGCAGAAAGAATTGTCCTTTGCCATCCATATCTTCTTCGCCTTTATGTGTGTGATTTCCAGATCTCCAGGTATCTTGCACTCTCTCCCTTGTCTTGCACATATGGCAGGGCAGGCAGGCAGGCAGGCATTGGTTGGTGCATGTGAGTTTCGCCAATATCGCAGCCAGCCATCACACCTGTGCATATGAGTTTTGTTCCGCGGTGCAGTTTATGGCCTGACTCGGCATCTTGCTCGGCTGTCGAACAACGGCATCGCGTGAGGTATCTGCTCGGAATCTTGCAGTGTTGCATGCAGGCGGGTGAGAACTGGAAATGAGGTGCTGCAGCAGTAATGGGGGTGCAAAGGGGTCAGGTAGGGAAAAGGTGGAGAGGGCCGCTACTCTCTCCATAATGAGCTTCAGCTATGAACTGTTCTGGTTGTCAAGAGCTTCACCTCAATTGCACTCATTTTATCTATCAAGGTTGCACTTTTCTTTTCTTCCAAGGACCGGTTGGACCATGGGGTTATCCAGAAGTATGACGCAATTTGGAGTTGAGGGTGGCTATGGGAAGTGCGGTGGCAGCCAGAGAGATGGGGAGAGAAGGAAACGACTGGCGGGTGCAAGGGCAAATGTTGGGAGTTGTTTGACGCCGAAGCGAGGACGTGGTGACCGTACAAAATCCAAGTGTTCGTTACGAAAGAGAGTGCAAAGGGTCACCTCGAGGACTTTTCAACATTTCAGCTATGAACTGGTGCGTTCGCTGAGGGCTTATAGCTTGCACGCGTATCCGGATGCGGGTTGTGATTTTCATTTGAGGACCGGTTTGGCGATCGGGTGAGACATAGAGGTATGGTCCATGTGCAGGTTGAGGGTGGCGAGGAAAAAAGCGGGGTGGGGTGGGCACGCAAAGACATTGGGGGATGGGGAAGGAAACGATGGAGGGGGGGTTTTGGCAAAGAAGACAGTTGTGGAATCTGCAAACTTTTTTGTGTCATTGTTTATGGCATATGTGCCTTTGATATCATCCTTCGGAGAACTGAGCATCGTGGAATCGACGTGGATCATTTTGTCTGCAGGTTCAATCTGTTTGATCCCTCAATCATTTTGACTGCGCATCGCATTTCTACCTGGGCTGTGGGCAGAAGGTGGCGTGTTTAACGATTGTTGTTGGCTGTTCTTGTGCATGGTGCAAAAAAGATGCAAGGAAAATTCCTACAGTCTTCCCTCGAATACAACGTATGGTCATTATAATTTATAACTGAATTTGGGGCTAAATTCAGCTGTAATGACCGTACGTTGTATTCGGGGGAAGAGTGTAGTCAGTCAGGAAGTGCTTGATGTCTGCCTATGTGTTTTTTGTGCGCACGAAGATGATCGTACCCTTGAAAAAAAAAAAAAAAAAAAAAAAAAAAGGGCTTGGTGGTAAGGGTGTACGTTATTGGCAGATGGATGGCTGAGTTGGAGGGTATGTAGCTGTTGTGTGTGAGGTGGTGGGTGCCAAAATTGCCCCCATGGCATTTATAGCCCAAAGCAAATGGAATGTGTAATGTGGGGGATTTGACCCCGGCAAAGAGCCTTGCTTGATCAACCCAGACCGCTGAAGAAAAGAACCTTTAGCCGCTTGGCTGAGAAGACTGCATATCTTTCAAATGGTCCGCTCAGCCTCAGCTGGGCTACCTACCGTCCTCACCCGAATAGAATGTCCGATCATTTTGAGTGTATCTGCTGGACTGGGAAGTTCTGCCATATACGGCTATAATGACCGGGCGTTCTATTCGGGTGAAGACGGTAGTTGTGAGGCCTCCGAGCTTCTTGTGAACCCTCTTTGAAGCGTCTGTTCTTTTTTCTTTTTTCTTTTTTGATCCGCTTGCGCAGGGGCTATGCTAATCCTCTCTGCATCGATCCAATTTTAACGGCTGTCCTGAAGGACTTCCAAGCCTCCTTTGCACCTCTCCCTCCTGGGCCTTTTCCGAGCTTCTCCAAAGCCTTTCACTGGGCCTTGCCCTGCTACTCACCACATGCACGCACAAAAAACAAAATGTTGCCCTGTATCTTTCCATGTTCTAGTGGAAGATTCTCTCATTTTGCACATGTGTCGAGTACTGGAGCGAGCCCACTGGAGGAATTCAGCGGCCAGCGTGGTGATGTGCAGCTGAATAAAGCCTCTACCCCGCTTCTCCCACAGCCCTCTGCTGAGGAAATCTGCAGCTGATGTTAGTGTCTAGCTTAAAAATAGTGGTCGTGATTTCCTTCACCACCACCTTTGACCGCCCTGGTTGCAGCCACATCAAACTTTCAAACGACGACCACCTTCAAGGTCGTTCTCATCCCTAAAACGATCTTGACGTTGTGTAGGCGGCACCTTCACTGTGACAGGGCAATGCCTTGTCATTGTGTCCATGTGTTCGATGTGGCTGCAACCTTGCAGGGAGGGTAAGATAAGCATCAGTGAAAAGAAAAAGCATCAGTGCTGTGTTGGCGCCCGCTTCCGTCGTGCCATCTTGTTGCCCTCCCCTTCCTAAAACTGGCAGCCCGTGAGGCTTTTCTTCCCCTTTATCGCCCACCATGCTCGTACGAACAGCCTCACCGTACCTGTGATCACAACCATTTCAGATGGGTGTCGTTTTTTTGCCAGAAGTTCGGTAGGTTGTGGGAGTACAGAGGGCAGGGGGGGCAACAACACAGCCCAAACACGCAGGCGATCCGATGCTCGTGGCAACATCTCGGTCACACTTTCCCCTGTCCCAGCCACCTCCATAAACATGCTCATGGTTGCACCAGCTTTTCACAATCTGTTTGGTCGTGCCAAGAGTTCACTGCAGCAGAGGGGTCAGGGGGACAACATAGCCCCAACTACATAGCCGCCAACAGGCACTGTCTGGCAGGCAATTTGTTGCGTTCCACAACATCTCAAGCACACCTTCCTTCTTCGCCCTCGTCTCTTCGAGCCTTCTCGTGGTGGTGCGGAATGTGAGCGGTACGACGTATGAGTTTCTGGAACTTGGTCGAATCATGAAGGTAGTCTCTTATTATGGTGTTGGATCCTGAGTCTTTATGGTTTTGTCTTTTGTTTTCGAACTCGCAACGAAGTTGCCTTGACTGGTGCCCCTCTTATGATTCACAAATGGATTGCTTTATTTTTCTCTGTTTTTTTATGTTTAACCTCCAATCCTTTTCTTCGAATTTCCTTTTAAAGCACTGATTCGGGAAAAGAATTCAACCCTGTACTACGAGACCCCGTATTGGCTATACATCCTCCTTGTATTTATGCAGGATACGTTGCCAGTACTATTGGTTTTTGTTTATGTGTATCCGGAACTCGACAAAAAAAACACTGCGCGTGAAATCAATGAAAGTGGGAAGCTGAAAGATTGCCCTGTATGTGTTTGTTGACATGTTCCTTGCCCTCAGCATCTGGTCAATGGCACACTCCATTCCCATGATCCGCCTACACAGATCTGTGCACTGTATCTGCATCCCATGTCCTCGCCTAGCAGATAATTGTCTCCAGCGGTTTGTCCTCTGGGTGGGTGACACAGGCCGCACGCCCACCATACCTGCAAGTGAAGCAGGGAACCGCATGTCCCCATCGTTGCCCCCTTGCCAAGTGAGGGGTAGAAAGAGCATGCGGCAATAATGCTCTCCATGAAGCTACTCACCTCTTCACTGTTTTGCAGATGTTCATCGTTGCTGTTTGATCTAACTTTGACTTTGACCAGATATCATGATCCTCGTCAAGGAGCTGCTGCAGCGAGTCAGATGTTACCGCCATTTCCCAGTCTTTTTTTGTCTCTCTCTCTCTCTCTCTCTCTCTCTCTCTCTCTCTCTCTCTCTCTCTCTCTCTCTCTCTCTCTCTC